TTGTAGTAGAGACGGGGTTTCACCATATTGGCCAGGCTGGTCTCAAATCCCTCATCTCATGGTCTACCCTCCTAGGCCTTCCAAAGTGCTGGGATTACAGGCATGAGCTACCGCGCCCATGCCCACCACAGTTCTTTTAAACATAAGCCAGGTAACAATGGAATAAACTGTAAGTTCACTGAGAGGGCAGCTAGGAATGGGAAGGAAGGTGAAATGGCAAGGAATCCCAGTTTTTCATGCCCAGAGTGTAATTCTCAACGGAAACTATGCAGAAAGAAACTTAAATAAACCCCTGGGGAGGAGAAAGTATGTATAGTAAACAGTGGCCAGCACAGTGTGCCCTCCTGTATGAATACCAGGGTCAGAATAACCTGTCATTTTGCCACTTTGATCACACGATTTGGGTTAGAAAGAACATGGGATTTGGACTTTGCTCTGAGTTTGGCTCTTGACTGTCACCTGTTCAGTGTGTGATCCTGGGCCAGTTTCTGAACCCTCTCAGTCTTCATTTCCTTGTCTGTAGAGTGGGAATGTGCAATCTGGATTCTGTGCTAGGATTCCGTCACATCTAGTGGACAAGTGGGGAAACCCCATAGGGACCTGGGAAATCTCCCTCTCGAGGAAATGCAGGGAGCTAAGTACAGTGGGCTCACCAAGAGGCGAAGGGTTGAACTGGAGGAAGGGGTCGTTTTGAGTACACTGTGGTAACAGTGGTGGGACCCCATCCTTCGCCCTACCCCATATCAGACCCCTGTCTGGTTCCTGGGCAGAGCTGTCACTAAAAGCAAAAGTGACTATTTGTTAGTAACTTCATAAGACACTAGAGTACAGAGTCACTGAGATGGGACCCCTATAAATGAGCATAAGAGAGAAAAAGGCATCTCCACTTGACAATCCAGAGTGCAACTTTACCAGAGTGAGATGGCAAAGCCAAAAAAGGGACAGTTCCTGGGCATTGATTTGCTGATGAGCACATGTAAGACCTCCTACCCCAGGAGCTCCCCAAAGGTGCAGGGTAGAAGGTGCTTTGCAGGGAGCTAGGTTCAAAGTGAGAAATGGTGGTAACAAACTAACATTTGGATTATTAGTCTTGATGTGACTTTATTTGTGTATGCATAGTGTATTAGACAGGGTTCTCTAGAGAAACAGAACCTGTAGGACATACAGAGATTTGTGGAAGAGGATCTATTATGGGAATTGGCTCATGCAATTGGCTCAAGAAATTCCATGATATGCAGTCTGCAAGCTGGAGAACCAGGACAGCTGGTAGTATAATTCAGTCTGACACTGAAAGCCTCAGAACCAGGGGAGCCGATGCTGTAACTCCCAGTCAGAGGCCCAAGGTCTAAGAACATAGGTGACAGCTTATGTAAGTCCCATGTTGGAAGGCCAAAGAACCTGGAATTCTGATGTTGGAGGTGGGAAAAGATAATGTCCTGGCTCCAGAAGGGAGAGCAAATACACCTTTCCTCTGCCTTTTTGTTCTATTCTGGCCCTCAGCCGGTTGGATGTTGCCCACCTGCGTTGGTGAGGGTGATCTCCTATACTCAGTCCACTGATTCAAATGCTAATCTCTTCCAGAAACACCCTCACAGGCAACCCAGAAATAATGTTTTATAATCTATCTGGGTGCCCCTTAACCCAATCAAGTCGACACAAAATTAACCATCACACCTGACGGGGGAAACTTGGCTAATACCCACCTCATGGGAATCACAGGATGTTCCCAAGCATGAGCCTGGATATGGCAAATACACAGCAAGTGGCAAATTCCCTCAGAAACCACCCAGGGAACCCACTGGAACCATTGCAGATGCTCAGAACAACCCCTGGTGTGTTTGAGAATTTCATGGCATTCTTGTGGCAAATATATTTAATTAAAAAATAACACCTATCTTTGAGCATGTATATGTTACAGTAAAGTATACATGCTAAGAGGAGTTTGAAATTATCTTTTCTTCTCAGCATTTTACAGTTTACAAAATACTTCAATGTGAATTTCAGTCACATTAGCTCTTGAGCAACAACCTAATCATATAGGATCCCCATATACAAATCAGAAGACTGCATTTCAAAGAGGTGAAGTGACTTGTCTTTAATAACCCAGCTAATAAGGGGTGCAGTTGGACACAAACCTGGTCTCTTTCCACTAAAGTCTGGTAGAAAACTAAGACCAAAACAAATACAATAATGACAGGAAAATGTTATAATACCATCTGGTAATGGAAGCAACAAGAAAAAAAAAAAAAAAAAAAAAAAAAAAAATTAAAAAAAAAAAAAAAAAAAAACAGCAAATATGAAGACCTCTGGAGACAAAGACAGATGTCTGTGGCTGGACATCCAGGAGTCAGCAGGGACCTGAATCAATCTAACTGGAAAATGAAAGGCTGCTGCTGAGGACAGGGAGGCAGGGATGAAGGAGGCAGACTCCCAGTGGGGCCTCACCTGGCACTCCCGGAGATAGCACCCAGCTTTTTACATTTCACAGAGTATTTCTACTGACCTTTCCAAAGGGCACTGCAACTCTCTGCTCCCAAATCTCTGAAAGTCAGAATGGAGGCTTTGCTCCTATTTCACTGTCTGAATCAGGCAAATCACCTCTTGTGACTTTGGCAACTTCTGGTCTCAGAGTTTGTATCCCAGTCATTTCTACTTCTTGGAGAATTATTTATGACATTCTAAAAGTATAGAAAACCATCTACCAAAATGTGTCAACATTAAAACATTAGTTAGCCAGAAATTATGCTCATTTAAGTTATGGCAAAAAACAAAACAGACAGGAAATGACATTAGCATTTATGGGCCAGGCTCTGTACTGGTATCTCTCACACTCATGATCTCTTGTTATATTCACTGCAATATAATTTGGGAAATGGTATCATTCCCACTTTGACAGTTGAGGAAATGGATACTTAGAGAGGCAAAGTAACTTGGCTAAAGTCACACAGCTAATAAGCAGCAAATCTAGGATGTGAATCCAAGCCTGACTTCAGGGTATTTTGCAACATACCACAGTTCATGTCCTGTGGAATTCAAATGGAATTAAGAGATGACCAGTAAACACAGTTTCATTGCCAATGAAATTCGTGACTTTGCTTTTTTATTAGCTCAAATTTACCAACAATGCAATTTCCAAATTACCAGCTTCGGAAGAGTCCTTAAATCATTGAAGTATTCAGGATTCATGGAGTCCTGACAATCAGGATTTGACATTGAGGAAGATGTGACCGGAGGACCCATGTGGAGGTGAGTGACTCTAATGTGAACTTTCATTTTTGACAGTTCTCTGTAAAAGTGTGGCCTATCTTGCACTGGATAGAAGATGAGGAAGAGATTCTCAGTCAAACCTGCATGATTTTCTCAAACTCTGTTTCATACAGGTGCCAAAGTTTGACACATTCTAACCACCTTGCTTTCTTTGGCATCTCCAACTTTGACAACAGAGTAAGAACAACGTGTGAAATGTTCCTGTCCCCCTTGACAGGAACAACGTGTGAAATGAAAGACCTCAGGTGCTATATCGGCTCTTGACAGGTCTTCAGTAGAAAGCACCTCCTGCCTGTTCTGTTCAGTCCTGGTACAGGTGAGTCACTGCATTGCCAGCCAGTCAAGTATTTTAAGAAACAAAATCTAAGCCGGAACCATCAGAGAAAGACGAGGGATGGATTAGCGCCATTAGCTTTGATGGTGTCTTGTTGTCATGGTGCTAGGAAAATCACTATCATTTAGAGTCCCACTCACCAGCTGTTTTGCTGGAATTTTTGACATGGAAGTCTGTGGCCACCCTAACATAGGCGTGGGACACGGGTGTGCACACACGTGTACACCTGCGGCAGACACCCACTCTAGAGGGCTCACGTTGGTTGTCTGGGACGTGATTCAAAGGCTGTACCCATGTGTATGATAACCGTTTCCCATACACCAGCTTGCAGGAAGCCAAATGACCTCCCCAGCTTACCTACATCACATGAAGCTTTGGAGGAGTCAGTGACCATGTGAACCCATCTCAACCTCTGCTCCCTCATTCAGCATTTGGCTTGGGAAAACATGCCACTGTTGCCTGTCTCTTAAACATTATTTCCAGGCTCAGGTCTTCCATCATTCTGAGGGGCAGGGGGAACTTTGAGTTCTTCCGGGAGCTGGGGGTTGGGGGCAGGGGAATGCTGCCCAAGAGAAATGACTAGAATCTTTGTCAGGCTGTGGAATACAGTCTGGCATTTCTTGGTAGGTGACCTCCCCTGAGGCCTCTCCTGGCATCTACACTGCAAAGTCCCCTGTATCTACTGAAAAGGGTGAGGGTGGGGCATTCATTAGTACTGGGAGACCAGCTTTGAGTGGAAAGGAGCTTCTCTCGTGGCCCTCTGGTGAGCCACACTGGAGGAAGCCCCAAATGCACAGTGCTCCCTGCTCAGACTCACACTTGCCTGCCTTCACCCCCTCCCATGCTCTTCTTTCCAATGCCCTTACTTGGGAGACTGCAGTGGCTGTGGGGTTGCAGTGGGGGTTGGGGGGCGGCATACTGCACTACCTGGCTTTTTCCAAGTCCCTTTAATTAAACCGAACCTTCGTATGAATGTAAAGAACAAGTAGGCTTTATCCCTGGGCCCTGTGCTCCTCTGCCCCAGATTCACACTTAAGGGCTTGGAGCAGACTTATTTTTATTAAAAGCCCAAGTGATTGGATTGCAGGTGGTCCTGGACCACACTTTGAAAAATGCTGGGGCAGAAACAAGCCAGCAAGCATATGGGATTCATCTGCTGTGAGTGGTAATTTATCTAGTTTCTAAAAATAGTGTTAGGGGCTGGACTGTGCCCCCCTCCCTGCTCCCATGCATATGTTGACGCCCTAACCCAAAGTACCGAAGTACCTCAGAATGTGACTGTATTTGGAAATAGGGCCTTTAAAGAAGTAATTAAGTTAAAACGAGGTCACAGGGTGGGTTCTAATGTAGTATAACTGGTGTCCTTATACGAAGAAATTAGGACACAGACCCACACAGAGGGGGGACCATGTGAAAACAGAGGGAGAAGACAGCTGCCTGCAAGCCACAGAGAGAGCCTTCGAAGAAACCAACCCTGTGGACAATTTGATCTCAGGATTCCAGCCTCCAGAACTGTGAGAAAATAGATTTCTGTTGTTTAAGTCACCCAGTCTGTGGTATTTCATTATGGCAGTGAAGCTGACTAATACAAACAGAAGCCTGATTTCACTTAATAGTCATCTCAGAAGGTAGAGATTGCTCCAACCTATTGTATAAACTAGGCTGGTTTGTGAACCAAAGGACATGAGCCCCAGATCTGGAGTCGCAGGGGTAGCATGACATGCACAGATAGCACAGCTTCTGGTGGCAGGCATTCCCACACTCAGAGACTCAAAGAACGTTCCTCCCTAGCCTTCCACCTGAGTGACTTTAGACAAGACAGCTATTGTTATTTTATTTAACAAATATGTATATAGTGCTTACTATGTGCCAGATAATAGTCTGTGCACTGTGCAAATATTAACTCATTTAATCCTCATTATAACCCTGTGATATATACACTGAAGAGCCACAGTCTCTTATTCAAACCCTTGCTTAGGGCCAGCAGTGGTTGGCATGTCAGAACTTGCAGATTTAAGGAATACGTACCATAGGCTTCATAACACCTCATGGCATCTGCAACAGCGTCCTCTTAGGAAACATACTAATGTTTCTAGTTTCTGTAGTGACACATATATATGCTGCATAAGTAAAGACTGTAAGTATCTTTGTGTCAACTCAAGACACAAGGATACTTTTATTCAATGTGCTTGTTTCAAGTCAGGTTTTGCTGCCAAATGAGTTATAAAAATATTTTTTCATATTTTGGAGCTTTTTTTTTTGGATGGAGTTTCGCTCTTGTTACCCAGGCTGGAGTGCAATGGTGCGATCTCAGCTCACCGCAACCTCCGCCTCCTGGGTTCAGGCAATTCTCCTGCGTCAGCCTCCTGAGTAGCTGGGATTACAGGCACACGCCACCATGCCCAGCTAATTTTTTGTATAAGTTTTCAAAATTGTTGGCCTGTATTAGCCCCATCTTACAGATGAAGAAACTGAGGCACAGGAGGTTAAACAACTTACCCACATCCATTAGCTCATGGGATGTGGGACTGGGCTACGAACTCACCAAGTTTGCAGCCTTGCCATGAGGACCCGATACAAAGTAAGTAGACTTCCGGGTTGAATTGTGTCCTCCAGAATTCATGTGTTGGTGTCTTAACCTTAGTACCTCAGAATAGATCCTTATATGGAAATAGTCATTGCAGATATAATTAGTTAAGATGAGGTCATTAGGGTGGGCCCTAATCCTAAGTGACTGGTGTCCTTATAACAAGGAGAAATTTGGACGCAGAGGCAGGCATGCACACGGGGAGAGCACCATGTGAAAATGAAGGCGGGGCCCAGGGTGACGCTTCTACAAGCTCAGCAATGCCAAAGGTTGTTAACAAACTGCTAGAAGCTGGCAGGGAGAAGCATGGAACAGATACTTCCCTGACAGCCCTCAGAAGGAGCCAACCCTGCTGACACCTTGACCTTGAACATGTGAGACAATACATTTCTGTTGTTTAAGCCACCCAGTTTGCAGTGCTTTATTTCAGCAGGCCTGGCAAACCATTACATGACCCTTACCCAGTGGTGGATTCTGAGTGGCAGATAAATATAGTCAGTAAATTAGATTATTTGTAAGCCCTCTTTCAAGTTCTGGATCTAATTTTTTGTTTGTAACATGAAGATAATTCACCTCTACTTGTACCCCAGTGGTCTTTCTCGTACAGCATTTCTTTATTGTTTCAGAGATGGGAATCAACCCAAATCAATGATAGAGTGGATATAGAAAATGTGGCCTATATACACCATGAAATACTATGCAGCCATAAAAAGAATGAGTTCATGTCCTTTGCAGGGACATGGATAAAGCTGGAAACCATCATTCTTAGCAAACTAACACAGGAACAGAAAACCAAACATTACATGTTCTCACTCATAAGTGGGAGTTGAACCATGAGAACACATGGACACAGGAAGGGGAACATCACATATTGGGGCTTGTTGGGGAGGTGGGGGACAAGGGGAGGGAGAACATTTGGATAAATACCTAATGCACGCAGGACTTAAAACCTAGATGATGGGTTGGTAGGTGCAACAAACCACCATGCCACGTGTATACCTGTGTAAAAACCTGCACATCCTGCACATTTATCCTAGAACTTAAAGCAAAATTAAAAAAACAAAACAAAACTAAACTAAACTAAACAAAACAGATGGGCTAAGCTGGATGCAGTGGCACACACCTGTAATCCCAGCTACTTGGGAGGCTGAAGTGAGAGGATCACTTGATCTCAGCAACATAGCAAGGCTCTGAACAATGGATGGGCTAATGTAAATGTGGTCTTAGAAAGCAAAAGAAGCCAGGCTCAGTGGCACATACCTATAGTACCAGCTATTGAGGAGGCTGAGGCAAGAGGACTGCTTGTGCCCAGGAGATCAAGACTGCAGTAAGCTATGATCCAGCCACTGCACCCTAACCTGGGCAATAGAGCAGGATGCTATCTCTAAAGAAAAATGCAAAACAAAACAACTTACATTAAAACCGAAACCATGTGGGCCCTAATTTGCCTTCTTATGTTCCTGCTTGCATTGTGAACTCACTCAGTTCTTGGCTTTTCTGAATCTCTTCTGCTTGTGTCTTCAGGTCTGTGGAGTTAAAACCACAGTGTGTTCAGGGTACAAATTCTGCAGAGGAAAGCAGAAATCTAAGTTAGAGGTTGTTTTCTGTGAGTTAAGAATGTGTTGCTAGAACCCTATTTAGGCTTGGAACATTTGGGCTCTTCATGTGGAAATTTGTCCCCAAACTGCCACTTCACTGAGGAGATAAAAGCTGCTTTAACAGAGCAGCTTGAATACTTTTCCTGTTCATAGGATGAGGCATGGTTGGGCCCAGTCTAGAGAAAGAGGTAAAATGCTAAAAAGTTGTTCTTGAGATTTAGTGACAGGAATCCCCATTGTCAAGCTAGCTTGGAGCTTTAAGCCTCTGCCCTTAAGATTCTACCACATCAATTCAGAAAATGATTTGCTCTGGATGGGGTGTGGCTCCAAACTCTCATCTGTGGAAACAGGACCTCAGTTACTGTGTGTGTTCAAAGGATGGGCTTCTGGTTTCCTCCCATATCTGATTATGGAGTGTCGTGGTTCCTGGGGCTGCCTCTCTGACTCCCTGTCAGCCCCTCAGCCTTTGTCCAGGAAGCGGCTCCCAGCTTCTTTCCTGGAAGCACTTTTGCACCAAACCAAAAGGCCTCTCTCATGTCCCTACGGCCCAACCCCGCTCCCAGAGCCAGTGGTGGTTTTAGCATTTGCTTATGGTTTTTCGTCTTTGTTCCTACCCTCTCCTAATTTTAGAGGTATGCCTTCTCCTATCAGTGGATGCAGCCCAGTGGAATTCCGTAGGGATACAAAAATAGTTGCAGGATGGGGGGTGTCCCTTTGGTTGGTGATTCTAGGTAATACCAAATGAGAGATTTAAATAAGCAAAAAGACTGATCTAATCAATTGAACTGCCGGCGAGCAGAGATCACATATTGTTCATTTTTGAATCTCTGGTGCTTAGCCCTGAGCTTGGCACAGAGCAGGTGCTCAGCACAATTATTTGTTGAATGAATCCATCTTAGTTTTCTTTTTCTTTGGAGAGGTGCTCTGACATGCATTAAGCTTAAACGTGGTTGCACAAAGTTGGAAGATGTTCCTGCTTCATAATCGCTGTCATGAATCATGTCCAATAAAAAGGCTCTGGGATCAGGAGGCAAAGGACAAACAGTCCAGATCCAGCTCAGCCATTACCCAGGCGGCCCCAGGGTCTCAGCCTCCCTGTGCCTCGGTGTCCTCCAGTGCAACAAGAAGGTCGTAGTTTCTGATTTCCCTCCCTCACAGCTGGTTATGAGAATGTGACAAGAACAGACATAAAGAGAGCATACGAGAGGTCCTACTTTTATTATCATTATTATTACTGCATGTAAATCGCAGAGTTGAAGTGCTCACAGTTATTTTTGACTACCTCAATCTCTTTTCTTCTCCATGAGCCTTCAAGGATCAAAGCCAGGTTCACCTCCTACCTCAGCTGAAGAAATGTCCCTCCTGGTGATGACTTCTTGCAGCTCAATCATCTGCTTGGTCAGCCAACATTTTCTGCATCACAGGTGATGACTGAAAAGTTAAGTTGTGGAAGACCAGTTGAAAAACAGTTGTTTGCTGACACGCTGCCTGTGCTTGAAGCCACTCAGAGCAGAAACAGTAAGATATTCTTACCCTGACACTATGCTCCTCAGCAGCATCCTTGAACCAGCTGAAGAGTCCTCAGCCCCAGTTCTTCCCAGAACAGGCCCAGGAGGAGAGGAGATTTGTTAGGGGCAGCCAGCCAGTAGCCAGCAGAGAGGCCAGGAACCAAAGCCTCCTGATTCCAGGCCGGTTTTTCCTCTACTCCCCACGCCTCTCAGTGGGGACATAGGTAGGTGGTGCTTTGCTTCCTCTTGTATCTTGGTGCAGATGCTGTTGCTAAGGTAACTGGGTAAGCATAAAACAGAAACAGCCCATGGGGTCTTGCTGCCTCCACCTGTGTGCCCAGACAGTTTCCCTTCCTGGCCAGAAAGTCGCAGTCAGTGTTATTGATCCAGGCCGAGCATCTGTGTTGGAGTCTGGAGAGAAACACCTGATCTGTGTGGCAGCCTGTATTCTCTGAACACTCCTCCTGGGTATGTTTTTAGACAAGATGTTGAAGATGGAGACAGATGATGAGGAATTGAAATTGCTTGAGTATACCAGTTGTCAGTGTGACATGGCTAAAATTGTCCAGGGCCTGGGTTCTTGGTATATCCTTGGTTTATTCAGGGCATCTGTAGAATAAGAGGGCTGGAAGTATGGCCTCAAGTCTGAACACTGTGTCTAGCTTTCCTGCTGTACCCCAAGATGGGACCCTCCAACCTTCAGACAAGGGCCTTCTTAAAGAGCTATGTGATACTGTGTGGCTGATTTTCTCTTGTTCATGGGAAGGGTTAGCTAAGTAATGCATTATCTAGGGCCTTCCTTACATCTTTTTCTTAACCTTCCCTTAGCAGGCCCACCAGAGTTGGTCCTAAAGGAGAGAGGAGAGAGCATACATAAATGAGCCAGTTTGGCCACAGTGACAGCTCACAAGGTGGTCAGATGATGGAGAGGGACTGAAATTCAGTCTAAGCTGCAGTAAAAGAGGAGAAGTGGGAACAGTTCCTGCATTCCCAACTTTAAGTGGCCCCTGGAAGAAGCAAATACCTGATGTCCACATGTAAGGCTGAACTTCACTTAGGGACTTTGTGGCTTAGGATCTCACTGTAACTACATCTCCAGTTTCTTTGGGGTGTACATTGGAGGAGGCAGATTGGTCCTGGTAGCTGGTCATAGAACTGTGGTCCTTTGAGGTCTGAGAGAAGCATGAGATGCTGCAAGGGGCTAGAAACTCAAACCTTGAAATATGAGCACTGTCACCCCTGCAGGTGACCACACACTAACTCACCACCACTCAACAGACACACAAACTTACCACCCACTTTCCAGCCAAATGCAACAGCCAGCTGCTCCCTACATGTCCTTTGCTTTTCTACTTCTGTCCTTTGCCACCTCTTTTCACTTAGTGCCATCTGTCTTAGAGAGGATACATTGGTTGCAAGTTCAGAGCCCAACTCATAGGAGCTAGTGAAAAGGAGGGCACAGCTGATACTTGGGAATAGCTGAAGTCAGGGCCTCAGAGTTCACTGCGACTCTTCCACTTTCATCTCTTCTCTCCACTTCTCTCCAGGTGCCTATTTCATTCTCTCTCATGGCGTACTGATTTCCTCCACATTGCAGGAAACACGGCTGCCCAGATCCCTCCCTGCCACACATGTACACGAAGCTCCTGAATTTAACATCTGTAGGCTTTCGCTAAAGATGCTGCCAGCTTTAAATCAGAAAATCCCAGGTAAGTCTAATGAGTGGCTGGCCTTGGTCAGGCACCCACCACTGGACTATCAGGCAAAGTGGGGCAAGGGCAAGAGCATCGCATGCAGCTCCTGTGGGTTGTGTGGTGAGGAAACTTTCATGTGAGAGGAGAGTGGTAGGCAGACAATCCCTCAGACATCCCAGCAAGGCCTCCCTCCAGCTTTAAGGCCCAATTCAACAAAGAGTTCTCCAGAATTCTCTCCAGCTCCACCTGGACTGGAAATAGCCTTCTCCTCCTCTCCACCCTCACGGTGTCTTCACCTGTACCTCCCCGTGCACTGAACACCTGTTGACCATGTACTCACTATTTGAATAACTTTTATTATATACATACTAATGTGTGTCACTGAAGAAAAAAATGGAAGCATAAATAAATAAAGAGAAGAAAATTAAAACTACTCATAATTCTGCCATCTGGAGACAATCACTTAGCATTTGGGGGTGTTAGCAGTTGTTAGATTGATGTCTTTTTTCTCTGCTTACATTCAGCCCATCAACATCTCACCTCTCCGTGCTCCCCCAGAATCACCAAGTGCTTCCCATTAGCGTGGGCTGACTTTGAGAATGTTAAATAAGCCGTGAATAAAGGAATAAACAAATGGATGAGTAAATAGAAAGTCAGAGAAAAAATTCTCCTACTCAAAAGTTGCCCCAGAGAAGACATCAGGAAGGAAAAAGAAAGGTACCAGCCCTCAGAGGGCATAGACACCCCACCCTCCCCATTCCTTCCCCAGCCTTGTCTGCTCCTATTGGGGCAGAATCAGTGCCAGGAATTGAGTGGTGCACAGTGAACAGGCCAGGCCTAGACCATAGACATTAGTGAAAATACCGCCAGGGACTGAAGTCGTATCCCTGCATGTCACTTGGAAATGCTGCCCACGGCTTAAGGGAAAAGAGAGTTCATGGAAACAACCAAGTCGAGGTCGCTACATGCATGCAGTATTTTAGGCTCAGCAAGCAATCTGGCAAATTCAAAGCTGCTCATGAATGGGTTCCAAGAAATCTGATTTTTAGCAGTGCTGTTGACACGGGAGTTGCAACAGCAACCCCCATGACTTGCCCCTCACTGGGTTGAAGATTATCATTGATTTATCTGGAGTAGAAACAGCAGGATTCCACATCACGCCTTGGAAGGCAGCCTGGGCAAAGGCAGAGAATTAACAGATCTTTATTATTAATTCCAATACCACAACTCCCCATGGGTCCGTGCAGTAAAATCACAGGCTCTCTTGACAGGAGTTTCTCTGTGTTTAAGAGGAGCTAGTGTTTGTTTTGCTTTGTTTTATGGGGCATGTCCTTATTCTTAATCACAAAGACAATCCCAAATCACAAATATTCATTAATGACACACCAGTTCAAAACATGTTGCAGGAGATGCAAAATAAGTAGCACAATCTCTATATTTTGTTCATTTGAGCATCAAACATTTATTGAGGCTGTTCTATGTGCCAAACATTGTTCTAGGCACTCGATTTTATAGCACATTACAGTTATTTTCCCTTTTAAAAGTGAAAAGATGAGGCTTAGGGAGGTTAAGCAACTTACCAAGCTTGCCTATAATCACACAATTTGTAAGAGACTTGGGATTAGAATAAAGGGAAAAATCTAACAGTTTGTTATTATTTGTATTATCATTGTGCCATTGATGTAGCCTTAGAAAAACTAGACCAGTGTTTGCATAAGCTTCCTTTTCACTAACACACAACCAGCCACAATTCATGGGGAGTAGGAAAGTGGTTTGTGCCCATTTACTCTTCCATTGGTGAACCTCCCAGGAGCAGCTGGTGTGTGCAAAACCAGGTGTCCATGGCCCCTGCTCAGTTCTTATGCACAGTGGTCTGTTGATAGCTGCCCTCCACACAGCCCTGGCACAGGGGTTGATCACAGGCCCACAGCCAGCACAGATGAGCAGGAGGAATGCAAGTTTTGGTCTCCCACCAATGCTTTACTTCTGATCCCTGTGTTTTTCCTTCTTGACCTGGAAGAAGCATTTGGGTGCTAAAGGAAAGAACCCTGAATGCTGGAGTCTTACAGGTCAAGGTTTAAATCTCAGCTCAACCTCTTAGAAGTTGTATGAGCTTGGGCACAGCTCTTAGCCTCCCTAAGACTTGAGACTTCATTTTCTCCCCACTAAATGAAAGCAGTACCTAACCTGCAGAGTCGTTTAATGGAGGCAGTACCTACCCTGCAGAGAGGTTCAATTGGGTAACATATGCAGGATGTCTGGCACGCACTAGTTGCCCAATCAATAGTAGCCATTATTATTGTCCAAAATAAATTTCACCCAAGAAGTGGAGTCATGATTATTAAGCCACAAACTAATAAACATTTATTAAAGATCTATTTTTAAGTAGGATTGATAATGGTTGTGAGAAAAACCTTGCCCACCCCCTCCAGCAGTTAGGGACCTAGACAGGGAGTAAATAAAACCCATGGCAATGAACAAGTCACCAACAACTCAAGCATCTAAGATACTAGAAGCGAGAGATAAAATTCTCCTAGGTGTCTGCAACTATGGAGATAAGGGCGGTGAGTGTGGGCAGATGGAGGTCCCAGGGGTCCCCTGGCCAGGCCCAACTGCGCTGCATCACAGGTACCCCTCACAGGCCTAGTATCCATGCACTGTTCTTTTCCCCACTTCTCCAGAGTTTGCTTTTTGGCTCATGCAGGTATTTTCCTTCCCAAGAGCCGCTGCAGACTCAGAGCATCCTCAGGTTATCTGTCTCCGGGCCTAGCCGGCTCCTCGCTGGGTTCTGACCTCACCTCTGGCGTCAGTCTTATCAGGTGTGGACAGAATCGTCTCCCAAGCTCCTGGAGCTGCAAGTCCAGGATTCTCCCCACACCCAGGCCCCATCCGGTATGGTGGAGGAGGGCCAGGCACCTCTGGGACTAAATACACTGGTCACCTGCCAAATCAGGATGACCACAGGGGTCTGCAAGTGAAGCCATGAGGCCCAGAATCGGGGAGGAAGGGTGAGGTTTACGTAAGTGTCGACAAAGAACAGAGCAGATGCCATGCCATGCTCTGCCAAGCAGGAAAGAGGGAGGAGGATGCTGGGGAGACACAGCAACCTCCCCAGCCCAGGTCTTCATGGGGACACTAGCAAAGGAACAGCAGGTCATGATGGGGATTTAGTCTCCTCTGGGAACTTTTTTCCTCCCAGGGAACATGTAGATCCAGCTGAGATCTAAAGAAATGAGTCTTAGGGTGACTGAATAGGAAGTGAGTGAGTGAGCTGGGAACCAGAGAGGTAGTAGACCCTTTGCTATTGGGTACCTGGGCAGAGGTACCAGCTGCTTCATGTAAACTCATATTCCATAATCGGAAAGGACACTTCATTTTTTTTTTTTTGAGACAGAGTTTTGCTCTTGTCTCCC